TCTCTCTCTCTCTCTCTCTCTCTCATTGCTGTCTATCTGAATATATTCCTATCTCTCTGAGAATGCCTCCGCGTCAGTCTATTGAAATGCTGCGACTTGTTTGTTTGTACCGTGTCGGCAGCTGCCTCATTTTCGTAGCAGTAGCATCAAACTGTTATTTTTCTCTCGCACGGCATTGTATTTTGGGGCACAGATCACGCGTTTGTTTGTGTCGTCAATATAGGATTGTGAACACCGCAAACGACGCAAAACAAACGTGGTGTTCAGCAATCCCGTTGGCATGAAACACGTTGTTGAGAGCACCCTTGCATGTGGTGTGTGGCGGATGATTAAGCCATTCGTTTGGTCGACGACGGTGCGCTTGGCTTTCCTTATTTTTGTATCTATGCGGGCGGGGGCGTGTAGGGTCCATTCCCGGAGTTTCCACACAATTGACACTTTCTACGCTACCCTACTACTACCGGTAGCTTGTAACGTCCCTCTCCCGGTGGACAGATGTTGCTGCGGGTCTGGCGAGGGAGGGCAATCCGCGATTGTCACTCACTCGCGGAGCCCCTCTTTCTGTTTCCACATGTCGATTGCGCTTTCGAACCCCGCAACCACGACCATCTCCGCCCACCCACCCCGCCATTTTCCCGCACAACCAACTATCCTGTACTCTCGTCTCCCTCGAATCTCAATCCCGCGTACGGCGGTCCTGTCTGGAATTTGATGGGAAAAAAACAGACGGGAAAGTGGCATCTGGGCATGTATTCGGATGCGCACTACCCTTTCGCGAGGGGCTTCGACACTTTCTTGGGGTACATGGGTGCGGTCAGGGGGTATTCCAGCCATGAGGAGTGAGTACTATTATTTTACTGTATTGCTCTCTCCATCTCTGTGTGTGTTTCTGCCCCTTGCTCTCTTGTGTTTCTCTCTGCTTGTTTGCCTTTGTGTGGTCTTGGCGTATACCATGGTATAATAGCTCTTTCTCGACCGCTAGGCGCAAGCCTACGGCGATCTGTTTGATCTTCTCTTTTTTTATCCAGGGGATTGCGGATCATGGCTGACGGGTGTAACAATCTTAGATCTCTATGTCGATTCATGCATTCATGCATTAGACGTCAGGCACGACAAGAAAAAGAGAGCGAAGGTGCGCTGAGCCCCCCCCCCCCCCCCCCCCCCCCCCCCCCCCCCCCCCCCCCCCCCCCCCCCCCCCCNGATGATTTGGCTGATCAGCTCGTTGAACCTCTCAGGCTTCAGTGCTGACGTCTCTTTTTGTCTCCGCCATGTGTGTGTGTGTTACCTTGAGAATGAATCTGCAAAGCAACACATGTGCATACCCAATGCCATTTTCGTTTTTAAGGTGCAGCACCCCGACGTTTGAGGGTGGGGAGTATTCGTGCTACAAGGACTTCGGGTACGGCGACAAGGATGGTTACATCAACCACATCACCAACACCACCAGACAGGTGTCTACCGCATCTACGAGATCTACGAAATTGGGAGACGAAACGCACCCCGCGGGGAAGCTTTGTCTTGCCTTTGTAACGTTGCATTTGGCCTGTGTCAATCGACAAGAGAGCCATACGATGTCCACAATTCTGTTCATTCTTGCCTAGCCATGACCCGACCCCCCTCCTGCCCGTCATTACATCATTCCCGTCATCCTAACACTCACCATTTGCCACCATCCACCCCGCCCGCCGCCCCCTTGCAGGGACCCTCGTTCGTGGGCAACTACAGCACCACCATCATCACCGATCGAGCCATCGAGGTCGCCAAAGAGCATGGGGAAGAGCCGTTCTTCCTGTACGTGGCGCATCAGGTGAGCGAAAAGAGAATACTGCAGACAGAAAAAGGTGCCCTCCGGACGGAATGGGCTGTCGGCTCATGAGAGCACGCGGAAAGTGCCTTCAAGGAGGGATGCAAAGACGAAAGGAATGATCCAAACGCGACGACGAATTGCCACCCGCCTGTGACGTTGTCAGAGCTCGAAAGGCCCCAGCAGGTGATGTGTTTCGAACCCCACCGGACCGAAACGACGATAAATACAAGTACTGCACTGTACTGCATCATAGTACACGTGGATTCTTGGCGTCAATTCTTGTACAGTTACTGTCGAGAGAACGAAAAAAGCGTCAAGGTTATCCAACTCCCGCAAAACGTGCCGGCGAACTGACAGGAAGTGTTGCGCAATCGCAATGACGAAAGACAAAGGTCGATTGCTCCACGACCGTCAACAAAACCCGCAATCGGATTTCTCACCCCACCTACTGCTGTTGTTGTTGTTGTTGTTGTTTCTCACATTAGCTCTATAGTCCACAAAAAATGGGGAGCCCGTGGTCTCAAAACCCGGCACATACGACGCCGCGAGAAAACAAAAAACAAAAATAGGATACAAACCACTCGGAAAAAGAAAACAAAATGATCGAAAGAAAGAAAAGAACAGGTATCGCACCTACTGTTCGAGAAAAGAGCCCTCGGACACCGATCAAAATAAAACAAAACAAAAATAACAAAAAAAAAAAAAATAAAGGAGGACGCTTCCCACACCCGCCGAAAGAAAAAATGAAAGGGTAACGTAACGTACCAGCACCAGGCACTGCGCACCAGGGCATGGGAGTAACGGAGCAAACAGGGCAAAGAGGCGGCAGATGGGCAGACAGCCAGCCGTACAAAAAAACAAAGGCAACAGCAAAGCGAGATCAAGGTACCCAACACAGCAGAGCAGGCAGGGAGGTCATAAAAAAAAAAAAGAAACACAGCACAGAGGCCGAAGGCAATACAAGGACATACATAAAGGAGTATAGCATACGGCAGGGAGGGAAACCGGGCGCAACAACATCAGCCGGGTGCATAGTTCGCCACAAGCGTTGCCTCGGCCGCCCTACTCGCTTCTACAGCAGTGCCCGTTCGCCGTTTCTTCCCCCCCACCGCCGCTTCGCCGGTTCTCTTTCTCTTCGGTCCTGAGATGGTCGTACTCTCTGCTTCTGCTTCCCGCGCGCGCTGGCGCTTCGCGGACGCTTCCGCCTCCTGCCTGTGCCATTTCCTCATGAACCATGCCGCCCCGTCCTCGACCTTGTTGTACCACACCTCCGAGTTCTTGGCGCTCTCTTTCCACGTTATTTATCAACACCGCTCTCCACGTTATTTTCGTGTCTGTCCTCCCCAACACCAAAAGTAAAAGAAAAAAAGCGTTGTTACCCCCCCTGCTATTGTTATTTTGGAATGATTCCGACCGCTTCAACACCGACATCAACACGTTTATGCCTATCAATCTGAATTATGCCCATTGGATTGAATCGAAGGCGGTGCACTCGCCGGTAGACCCTCCGCCCGATGATTATTTCACGGACGAAGAACACGCGACTCTGGGCAGGGTGGTCTCTGAAGACGCCTATCGACAGCGCTTCGCAAGAGTGATACTATTCCTCGACAAAGAGGTAAGTGTGTTTACGTCTACATTACCATGGCTGTTTCCAATGTAAGTCTCTGATACTATTTCGCGACAAAGAGGTACGTGTTTATGTTTACATTACCATGGCTGTTTCCAACGTATGTACAATTGTAAGTGTCTGATACTATTCATCGACAAAGAGGTAAGTGTTTACGTCTACATTACCACGGCTGTTTCCTACGTATGTAAGTCTCTAATACTATTCCGCGACAAAGAGGTACGTGTTTATGTTTATTTTACCACAGCTTTTTTTCCAAGGTAGACTATGTTTGTAAGTGGGAGTATTTGTTCTGTTTTGTTGCGCCCACAGCTGAAGGTGCGTTTTCATTCGAACGGTCGTTCCCAAACATGCTTTGATTTCCTCCTATGGACTAGTCCTTCAAAGTTCACCGGAATGGCTCTGCTTGATTGGGTCGTTTCAATAGTTGTTGAAACTGGTGTCTTCTCCGCCTGCCTTCTTTGTTCACTCGCCTCTTTCGACCGCCTCCCATTTGCCTGGTTGACCTCATTCTCAACGAATGCCGACGTTGTCACTTCCACGACCACCACCCCTACCCAATCAAAAGCCCTTGGCCGCCTTCAAGTAGACACGACGATCGCCACCACCGACTGTTCGCCATCACACCGACCGCGCCATCACACCGACAGCGTCAATCCCTCCGCCGCCGAACACCAACCAATCAGATGCGAAGGCTTCACGACGAGCTGGATGCCCTTGGCGCCCTAGACAACACCGTCCTCGTTGTCGCGAGCGATAACGGTGCTTGCCCGACCGCGGGGGGATCCAACTACCCCCTGAGGGGGTACAAGCACACCATCTTCGAGGGAGGGGTCCGTGTACCGGCGTTCGTCTACTCGAAGTCGGCGGACTTGATTCCGGCGGAGGTCAGTCCGTACTGCACCCTTTTCTTGGGTACATGTACCTCTTTTTTTGTTTTCGCTTCCTACGTGGTTTGCATCGTGGTCCCAAGAACGTTCTTGGAACATTCCTACCGGAGGAGGTAGTTTGACTTTTCGTGTTGGACGAGTTTGGCCTCGCGCGCGAGTGCGTTGTTAGGTGTGTCAGTGTAGTTAGCATCGGAGTCCCAGAAGCATTTTATTGGAAGGTTCCCATTCACCCCCTTCTTTCGACAACAGCAGGAAGGCAAGGGTGGTTAGGTCAGACGGTCTCCATAGTGGGGCTCGCCCTGGTGAATAACCGTCATAAGTCGTCTCGCGGCACCCCCTCTTCGAGACGGCCCACCGTTAGATCATGCCCTTGCTGTGGTCAACATTCCACCGCCAACATTCCACCGCTCTTTTTACGGTTCTGCCATGTTTGCAGTAACGGTACGGGCGAACACGCAGACGTGCAATCGTTTTTTTTTTTATCGATCGCTCCATAACCAATAGTCTTGAATTGCCGAAGAGAAGAGGGGTGGTGTTGGACATATCTATCTGCGTACCTCGTCGAGAGCTGTCGTTCCTTGCGAGTGTGGGTCGGGTTTTGATAGTAGCACCCTCTTGGTAGTGACGCAATCGGCCTTAGTCTTCAAAATTCGGTCTCACACCTGTGCGTTCGCCCCGTAGCTCTACAGCAACACGTACTTTGCATACAGCAGTACAGAAGGGGTCCCTGTCATCGCCGCACCCTGCAACTGCTGTACCGGCCGTGTTTCAAGTAGTAGACAAGTTGAATACTCGAGTTGTGTCAAGCGACTTCACCGGCCTTATACCAGGCGGCCCGCCTCAATGCTACTGTGGCCTTATTCGTAAACCGGAACGTGTGAGAGGGCAAAGCGGGAACCATGTCGCAACCAACAGAAGTCCACGAGTGTACGGGGATGATGTCGCAACACTCCCCGGTAGAGACAAGAGGGTCTACTTTACATGCAGTGCGGGCATGTTATGGCATTTGAGTACACCCATGTCTAGTGTAGATGCCATGCGTGGCGCTTAGCACAGGAAACGCGCCGGTTGGCCCACGGCCCCCGTGCCGCCCTTGCCCCTCCGCCCCCGCCAGACACGCCTGCCTCCTGCCCCCCAAGCCTCCCTCCCTGCTGTGGAAACCCCACACGTCCACCTTTCGTCGCTTCTTGTTTCTTGCACACGCAGGCGAGAGGCACCAAGTACTCTGGGATGATGCACTCCACCGACTGGACTCCGACATTGGGCAGGGTTGTGCCGGACCTTCCCCTGGTAAGTGTAAGTAAGGATGGGAATTCCCCCCCTCCACGACAGGTGAACGTGTTTCTCGATAGGTAGCTATCTGATTCGCGTGCTCCACGCGAGAGCGTCGCTCTTACGCTTGTTATTTTTTTTCTTCGGTCTGTCTGAAGGAAGGCCGACGGTATGTATTGTTGTTTCACAGGATTGGCTTCATTCCATAGATTGGCCTAGCCTCCACCGCGATCCCCCCTCGCAGGAACCCAGATCATGGCCTCTGGAACATTTTTCCGTTGAAGTATCCGTACTGATGTAAGACTGAAGACTTCTCCTTGGTGAGCAGGTTAGCGCCGTCGACGCCCAAAACAGAAAAGCACGCCTGACAGTATTGGACTGCCGCCATCACGTTCCTCTCACGAACTACGCCGATGTCTGTGTTTGAGAGAACGTCATTGGGCGGGTTGCTCGCAACAACTCCACGAAACGCACAGGACGGATAGACAGTAGATCCCAAAGGCCTGTCCTAACACTCGAATGCGATATTCAACGACAATAAAGGGCGAGATGGGGAAGGAGCTGAGCGGCTTCGACCAATGGGACGCAATCATTGGCGGGGGGAAGGGTGAGGGGGGGGGCGTGCGCACGGAGCTTGTCCTCGGCCGCAGCAGCTACGTGTTTGACCTGGATGTAGGCGAGATCGTGAACAACCCCAGCCCGAGAGGAGCGTACATCTACGATGGATGGAAAATTATCCTGCTGGAAAGGTATGCGTTATGACACGGTCATATGCGCACGTCCCTTGATCCAGCGCGCGAAGTTTTACGTGGTGGTCCGGGGCAAACAAGCATGAACCTCTTGGAGAAGTATGGGTGGGTATTTGCGTTGGATTAATGTTCACTTTTTTTCCCGTTTGTTGGCGTTGGCGAAACGTGCAGATGGATGAAGAGCCGGTCTTTCTTTGCTTGTTGTTGCAGACCCTCATCCAGTTGATGTTTGTCCTGTTCGATGCTGCTGTCACAGCCAAAATGATGTGACTCATCGCACCGGGGTGCTCAACAAATGTCGAGAAACAGCCGATGCTACATGAGAGAATCGATCGCACGGGGGTGCGATGACTCGCATCTCCTTGCAGTACTGCCGAATCGATGATGTCTGCACCTAGGCACCGAAGGCCTGTCCTTCTTCACGGAGCCCCCCCCCCGAGATCGAACCACCTTC